TCACGGTAGCCCGACCGGCAGGATAGAAGGTTTCACCAACGTTAAAGAATTATACGAGAAGATCGGCGATGCGTTCGACATGCCCGCTACTCAGGTAGAATAAAAATACTAACATTTATAATTTATTTTACCCTGTATTTTAAACTATTTTATTAACATTACACACAAATTAATACACTGAGGGCGGAACGCACCTCGTTATTTAGTTCCAATTGAAAGAAAGAAATGTACACGTTCCTGCCCCCATAATAAATCACTCAGCCATATATTGGTATTTCTTATCATCGCCAGTATTTGCTTTTAAGTGCATGTAAGGGCATGGTACACATACATATAGGTAGGTTGTAGTAAATAATTAATCATAGATAAAAACAGTCACGTTGTGTAATGCATCAAGGCAGTTTGTTGTGTAAAACTATAGAATATATGTGGGGATAATTACCAATATTACACTCTGATGATGTACATGTATATAGGTTTCCATTCATTTTTTTATCTCGCTTCCTTAACCTCAAGCAAGACATCTTTTTCGTTGACTATACAAGAGTTGTCCTGAAAGCCAATCTGTTTTTGTCAGTTACTAGTATTTTGATATTTTTTAAAAATGTGATTGTTATCTTGTACGCAAATTGAAAGGATTCAGTGAAGTAATGATGGCAAAAAGCTTTTGACAGTTCATTGTACGTTGTTTGGAAATATAAATGGATTCTGGTGTAGTTGTTGAGTTTATTCTGCGTGCAACTTAATTATTTGTAAGAATTCATTTAATAGTATAATAATATTGAAAATATCTGATTGCAAATAATTTCATTGCAGTTCTATTACATTGTATGTCTTCGCTTCAATTATTATTCCAGCAGTCAAAATTGAAGACTCTAAAATTTACATTGTATTTTTTTAAGTACATTGTCGCATGATTTTTATTTGTGTCTCGTGCCAAAATTTTCCAACCTGACTTTTTATTGGGACCAAGACAAGATCGTTTTTTTTTTCAGCATATGCTGATCCAGTCCTGATCGTTCACATACACATTTCAGAATGTGCCAACGTGGCCCCCCCAACTCTCTCCATGTGCTGAGATCATAACATAAACACCTCTATCATGATGGATCCAGTGTTCTTGAAGCCTTATTTTCACCCAAAATTTTCTTGCTGAAATTAGGCAATGGGAGAAACATTTTTTTAATTTCAAATGTTTTGTTCTAGTTTTCAATCCACTTGATTCAATGTGGTTTTTAAGATGAACCAAATAATCATGTGTTTTAGCACCAAGACTGTATAGATCTTGTAAAGACCAGTAAACAAATATTTATTTTTTGGGTCATTGTGTGCGTGTGAGTTTAAATGTGTATATCACAGCTTTTGCTTTAGAATCTTGTTATCAGAATTTTAGAAATAAAATAAAAGCACAATTTTAATGATAGTTTTAAAATGTTTAAAAACTATACACACATAACAATTTTATGAATAAATTGACAAGAAATTTTTTTTTCTGGGCCTGACTACTACATGTGTAGTGTCCATGTACATGTAGACCAGTTTACAATTTACAAATGTTTTGGTTTAGACTGGTTTTATTGTAGAATCATCAAAATATCACTTAAAGATTTCCCAAATTGTATATGGCACTTTATGAAGCTTGCTATTATAGACAGTTTAGTACCCCTTGAAACAAATAACCGAATATAGTGTCAGTGAAAATAACATAATAAAGAGAATCGTGCTTTATCTATATCAATCAATCAAGTTATGAAGTAATACTGTATTCAAGTTATTTTGTTGAAAATAGGGTACAAACTTAATCATGCACTCTGGTTGAAAGATTAAACATGTGCAGTCAAGATTCAGAGTCTATTTTAAAATAAAAATGAGAAACAGAGAACAACAAAAAATGAGCATAGTCGGTGAAAAAATAACATAATCAGAAGATTCATGCATCATGAAAACTAAAATAACAGGGTATAAACTTAGACATGCGTTCCGGTTGAAAGAGTGTGAACAGGTAGTCAAGATGACGACAGATGTGTAAACAGACGGGTTGAAAGTCCATTTGAAAAAAATTGCAAGATAGAAAACAAGAATAGTCAGTGAAAAATACCATAATAAGGAGATTCATGCATCATGAAAACAAAAATATTCAAATATTTTGTAGAAAACTGGGTACAAACTGAAAGTAACTTAGCTACCACTACATTTGTTGACCATGCACGGAAACATCGCTGCCGTCTGAAACTAACTTTCAATTTTATTCAATTGAACAGAAACATTTAGTCACAAGAACAATTGATAACTATTGTATGTTGGAAAGATGCATATTTCGAAAAAAGAAAATGACTTGTTTATGGAGAGATACTTGTAGTTTGATTCGAAAGTTGCGACATCACAACTTAAAGATATCAAAGTAAATATGACGTCATTGTTTACTTGCTCATTAGAATATTCCAGCCCAGCTTGCGTTTGGCATCTGGCGTTTGATTTTGATGTTTGTCGCAGTTGTGTGTCCTTCCTACTATATTGTCTATGTTGCCATCAAGAAAATAAAATGTTTTCAAATACATTAAAAAGTACTCTTTTAGATAAAACATGCAGAATATTTCTGGCGAGATTCAACTTCCCTTGACATGTGGTGGGAAACGTAAATGTGTAATGTAGTACACACGATTGAAAGTTCAAATTAATTTGATTGAACTCTTCATCTTATCAGCTTGATGCATTTTCTAATTTACATTTGCTTCAAATTGATTCCTGCAAAATTGAAAATTAATATTTCAAATAATATATTCTATTATACTATATTTTTATGTGGTACATGTATATCATAATCTTTGATATAGGCTGGTTACGAGCCTCTTCATTGTTCTATTCAAATAAGCCTGTGATTAGATTACATAAGCCGATGCTTGCATGATTTAGGCAAGTTGGTTCATGAATGCAGTACATGTACATGTATTCGGTTTCTTGGGCTTGACAGATTATTGTTAAATTCTTCCTGACAACTTGTCTCTATAGTATTGACGTGACCTCTAATCCGTCAGGGGCTGACAATACTGCAGCAATTATATTAAATTTGTATTCTTCTTTCTACGCCTTGATCTAGTTCACACATGGTGATATGGCAGTCAAGTGTATCAATGATTTTTGAGTGTGAATTTTAATTTCTCATTTTAAATAACATTAAATTGTAATATAATTGATCAAAAGAGAGGGATGTGTAGAGTGTTATATTTTTAGATTGACAATTATTAAATTATTATTTTGATGTTTACTTTGGATATTTTCGTTTTTTTAATCCAATTTCGGAAAGAAGAACAACACGTGTGTATGATTTTTGCTCGTTAATTTGTTGGTTCTGTATGTGTATATAATTTTGCTCTCAAAACAGCATCTTAATTTTGTAAGTGGGTGCCTTTATTTCAGGGAGTAAGTCACTAAAAGCGTGTTACAATCATACATAATTCATACAGTTGTCATGTTGTGATGGAGTCAAATTCACCTTTCAGCGACCGACAATCAAGTCTGCTTTTCCACCTACATTGCAATTACGTAGGTAGTGAACTGATAAGACTTTGTTTGGCTTTCTTTGATGAAGATTGTTAAAAATTGAATTTTTGTTAGCATGTCTCAGCATGGATACTGGAAATGTGCTTTTATTATTATCATAAAATTCTGAACTTTAATGAATACAGTATTTCAATAATAAATCATTTAAGCAGAGCATCTCTATATTTAATTTCTCTCGCATCAACTATTCCATTTGGATTTAACATTTTACATTTCTCAAAAAGGGCACAGTATTCCTATTTTTATCAAGACCAGCTTGTTAAAAAAAAATATTCAGTCTTCCACAGTGTGGAAATACTAATTAGGAAATAAATTGCCTGTAGGTAGATTTTAACAGCCCCGCCTTTCTATTTCATACAGCAATGATCAGATCAATTCATGTTAACGTTTGTGGAATTGAAAGGTTTCTCAGATAACACCTGATTGACAGACTGTTAATGACCTTGACAGTGAAGTATTATAAATAATGGTCATCTGCGATGAAGGATAATCGGTATGACAAGTTCTGATGTATACCGTTAATGCCTGACGCTGATTGGCTAGGGACTTTGGGAGATGTGACACAATGGTGGGGAATTTATCAAGCTTTTCAATACATTGCATTGACTTTTTGATATAATTTCGGACTCTTATACATGTTATAAGGCCAGACTTTTATTATCCCTTGTTATGCAAACCCGCCGAATGAACAGGAGTCGAAAATTAAATAAAAATAAAATTTTATTTCAGCGTAATTTCTCGCGCCTGCTGACTTGTGAGTGCAAAAAATTGCTAAAAAATTGATTTTTATCTTTATTTTTTTTCCGTCCGTCGCCTAACAAATCCAAGTTGCATTTCCATGGGAGTATCAAAGTACCAAAGTCTAGCGCAGATCTATACTTTATGCGCGTTGGTTGACAGTGAATCTTGGGTATTAACCTATCTACGTGCTGCTTGAGACTACTAGGCGAACATGGCGGCGGCGTGGTTTGTGGTTACACGCCGTGAAACTTTGTCGTCAAAAACAGAGAAATCTCTCATTGATGCTGAAAATTGTGCCCAATTGGCGACATTGCCAACCAGTACATAAATAAAATTTTATTTCATTTCTTTTCTTCGATCAATGATGTCACTTACAATTCTTTGAGAATCACACAAATCTAATGGGGGAAAAAAAGAATTAATTTTATTTTTTTTCCGCCCTCCTCAAAACAATTTTACTTATAAACACTTGAGAAACAAGGAATAAAAAAAGGTCTGGCCTAAGCAGAAATAAAGTTACAAGTTTGAGTTACATGTAGCTAAGAAAAATTTCAATAAATGTTATAGTTACTTTTTGATAAATTTGGAGAATCAACAATCTAATCGCACTGTTGCTGTTATCAAGCGCCTATTATCAAGTTTTGTGTTGTACATGTAGTTCTATATTCTCTCTTCATGCACATTTAAAGTTGCATTTTGAAATCATTGAAATTTACATGTATGTGAAATGAATTTGAATACCCAATGGACACTGAATGAGACACTGAATGAGACACTGAATGAGACACTGAA